TAGAGTCTTCACTGTACTGTGGCTCTCCCTGACCCTGGTGACAAAATTATTTTAACCAGTTTGTTGCAGTGTCATAATGCAGGCATGCCTGTCAACACGCACTGCTTTCCAGATGATGATAATGGTGAGCACTGGATGCTGTAGCATATTCTATATTTCTAGTCAGTGCTTGAGGTGGAATGAAAATAGAACCGGGATGGTTTTCTCCTTTTAATTCATAGGCATTTACTGCCAAAGAAGTAACGGGATGCTTTTAAGCCATTTAGAAAAGAACCGGGATACCATCCCGCTACATCCCGCCCCACCTCAAGCCCTGAGTATATGCGATACGAACATTTGACAAGGCCAGGCATATTCGTAAGGGACAAACCTATCGAATCGATCGAACCTATCCACTCGTCAGAGATGTTACACAAGGGCTATGACCGCAAGGGTTCAATCGCAAAACAATCTCTGGTCGTGATTCTCAAAGGGCTTAACGCCCAGACGAGCTGTTTGGTGGTAAACCACCAGACATAAAGCAACTTTGACCATTCCGACCGATTCTGACTCTTGGCGTATTATGTTTGAGGACGTGTGCAGTGCTGGTTGCGGTTAAAGTAGATTGCAATGAAATAACTAGACTTACAAAAGAGGCAGAAATTGATTCAAAGTGCAGTGACAAAACCACCGCGATATAAATTTTAATCTAGAAATGCTGGCATTAAGCATATCATCCCCAAAGTCGACTGAAAGAATTGGAGTGTAGGTGGTGCAGGCCAGGACAAAACTACTGGCACCAGAGCTAGAAAGCAGCATCCAGCGAAGAAGGAACGTAACCTAAGGATCGAAATTTGGAAGCTGCGCCGAAAAGGTTACATACGAGTACAACGCTAATGTAACGGGTTGTGCCTGCTGCCATATCAAGCCCAAGAAGAGGTGTGTAGGCATCGACGCTGGACAAGTCAACATTCTAAAGTGGGGTTAAAAGAGAAATTAACGTAATATGGTTATGTGCAAAATGCAAAGCGAAGAGATGGAGTGAATAAAACTTGGCTTAGAGGAAATAAAGTAGGATGTTAGAAGCCACAGCAAAAAAAAAATCATAAACGAGTTGGCAATGAAGAGAATCGAACGCAGCCTAATGCTGAAAGTAACCATCATCCACCATAAGACGTTAAACAGTTCTGTCCAGTGTGACTAGTGAAGATTTTTCTTGTTTCAGTCCTTCATCCCTTACATGTTTTGTTCTTTACAGACCAACCTCAGAGGGACATATATACAATTGGAAGCCACTACTACAGTATACCTTTGAACTCCAAAATATATACATATAATGCTGACAAAGGCATTCAAAGATATACAGTAGTAGTGGCTTCCGACTGTATTGATGTCCCTCTGAGGATGGTCTGTAAAGATCAAAACATGTAAGGGATGAAGGATTGAAACAAGAAAAATCTTTACTAGTCACACTGGATGGTACTGTTTAACCTCTTATGATATTGTTAGTGTGACAGACCAGAATGAAACAAATCATCCACCATTTTCGCTTTTAAGGTGTTGAAAGAAAAAGAAATGAAACTCAGACTCAAGCTAGAGAACCCAAAACAAGAAATTTTAAGCTATTGCTGTGGAACGTAGAAGGTCTATACGGTGCCTGCAACCTAATTCTGAGTAGTATGTTTAAGAGAATGTTACATAGTGATAGTCAATGAGACCTTTCTAACTGAATGGCAGTATATAGACTGTTTTTGTGATCACCTTTAGAAAGGTCAACCATAAGGAGAAATACCTTGATTAGAAAGCATACCAATAGTGACTTGCCCAGTCTGGCGTCACAACAAAGTGCAGAGCCATCAGGAAATCTGAACAGGTTATCACAGAAGCAGACAAGATGGTGGAAGCATGTGGAAGTATCCCAACCACCTTGTAAGAAATAAAGAAGGCTAATGTCATTGATGCAGTCATAACATTGGAAGAACTCATAAAAGCCGTGGCAATATCCGTCCCTGAAAC